CCCCCACCTTTCTTGCTGCTGGGCCCTCTGCGGGCGTGACGCGGCCACAAAGGATCGTGAACAATTTTGAAGGGCCAACTCTTTCGTCATCGTTCATTGCGAAAACTCTCCTTCCAGGAAGCTTTGAGGTGCAATCAAGTGACCCTGTCGACATGATTTGCATGGGCTGCGCCGCTGCGAGGCCTCCGTCGACCCAACCCACCGATAGCGCCGACGTCGTCGGAGACCGGCCTCTTTGTGCGCGCGCTTTCGCCGCGTTACACGCTGCTGGCGCGCTGAGCTCGGTGTGTGTGTGTGTGTGTGTGTCGCCCCCTCATCTCAGCGAAACCCCGGTTTTGCCAATGACCAAGGCCACGGCACTTGCGGGAGCCAAGAGCCAGCGGGCTCACATCCGCCCAAGTCGGGGTCCGTCATTATTAGCTCGTCGTCAGCAGTGCAGTTTCTGATTCGCCGCCCGGGTCGTCATGACTGTCCGCAATTATCATCGCATTGTAATGTAATTGCGCTGCACCGACGTAACTTATCCGCGCTGCTCACAGCTCGCTCTTATCAATCTGGGCCGTCCTTTGACCCCTCGCCTGCAGAATCTTCGGACGCGCGGCATCAGATCCGGCCGTTGTCTCAGGCGCATTTCCGCGAGACACTCCTGCGCGAACCGGGTGATGCTGTACTTGTCTGCCGCCGCAGTCCTTCGCACCTACCACTTCGCTTCGTCCATTTTACACTGAGGTGCCCGTCGCCAACGCGCGCAAGGCACGCTCGCGGAAGCCCCCCCCAGCGCTTCCCCACCGACTTTCTGCCTCAGACCCCTAACCTGGTCCCCCAAACATCCACGCACCCCCATCCCGGAACCAAGTCCCAATTCAATTCACGTCTTCTTGACCAGAGAGTTTGGAGACTTTCAGGTTTGGGCTCGCACGGAACGCTCAGCCATATTAATACTTTGCTCGGTCAACGCCTACGACGATAGCTTCTCAACGTCTTCCTCTTGCCATCGTCTCGCTCGACGCAAACAAGTCTCCACCTTCTAGGCCAGCAGGGGTTCGTCTTCATCCCATCTTCCCACGCGTATCCCGATGCAACCTGAGGATCCCAGCTCGCAGTTCTCCACTCACTCACTCTTCTTCTCACCTCCAGGCTTAAGCTTATATTGCTGCGCTCCCTCCTCGAGGGCCTCCCGCCCACCTCCTCGTTTCCACGCGCAGACAGGTCGAGTCAACTCGCCACAGCCCGTCCGAGATGACGCCCGACGCCAGCAACACCATCACTCACCACCCTTCTGTTTTCCATCTCCAGCACCTCTCGCCAAGCCGCGGCAGCTCGCGCTCCCCCGCCCGCCGCAATGGCTCGAGCACTGCAGTAGAGGCTGTGGCCCCGTCACCTGAAGCACACGACGCCATCGAACGTCACCCGTCGCATGCTTCCGACGTCGAGAGCCAGGTGACGGCCGCCTTCAACTCGCGTATCCCGCGTCTCAGCGTCGAGAGTGACCCCTACGGCCTGTCCTCGTCGTACAAGACGGACTCAGACCTGGACCAAATCAAGGCCAACTCGTCCCGTAAGCGGGATGGCTCCCGGGGATGCGGTCCTACCTCGGTTCTCCCGCCTTCAGACAAGGGCAACACGGGGCCCAAGAGCGACGCGCGGAAGCTCCGGGGCTTCTATGAGAACCAGAATGCCGCCATCGAGCGCATGCTCAAGTCGGTAGAAGAGCATCGGGCCGACGCCCGCCAGGAGCAGGGCGACGACCAGCTCAAGTTCCGCATCGCCATCTATGGCTCGCTCGCCGCCAACATCGTCCTCGCAGGCCTCCAGCTCTACGCTGCCATCTCATCTGGCTCACTGTCGCTGTTCACCACCATGGCAGACGCGATATTCGACCCTCTCAGCACCTTGACGCTCATCTTCTCGAACCGCGCCATCAAGCGGGTCGACCCTCGCCGCTTCCCCGCCGGCAAGGCCCGTCTCGAGACGGTCGGAAACATCGTCTTTTGCTTTCTTATGACGTCGGTGTCGCTCATCATCATTGCCTTTGCGGCGCAGGAGCTCGCCGGCGGCCACGGGGACAAGGGATTGCACCTGGCGTCCATCATCTCCGTCTGCGTGGCGTTCCTCACCAAGTTCAGCCTGTTCCTGTATTGCTGGTCCATCAAGGACAAGTACAGCCAGGTCAACATCCTGTGGCAGGACCACCGCAATGACCTCCTGGTCAACGGCTTCGGTATCCTCACGTCAGTGGGCGGCGCCAAGCTGGAGTGGTGGATCGATCCCATGGGCGCCATCCTGCTGTCGTTGCTCATCTCGGGGGTTTGGCTGCACACGGCGTTTGGCGAGTTCATGCTGCTCGTGGGCGTGGTGGCCTCGGTGGACACGCAGCAGCTCATCACGTACGTGTGCCTGACGCACTCACCCGCGGTGCAGGGCATCGACACGGTCCGGGTCTACCACTCTGGGCCGCGCCTCATTGCCGAGGTAGACATCGTCATGGACCCCTCGGGCACGCTGCGAGACACGCACGATGTGGCCGAGGAGCTGCAGTTCAAGCTCGAGAGCCTGCCGGACATTGAGCGGGCGTACGTGCATATCGACTACGAAACCACGCACAAGCCGGAGCACGCGTATAAGAAGGATTTGTAGGGCGGCCAAGGGGCCGGGCGAGTGATCTGACTCGTGAGACGCGCATTTGTTTTGTTAGCGAACGTTATTGGGGAACAATCAACTGTTTGCACACGAGCACCTGGTAAACACCCGAGATGTCTCTGCTGCTCTTTTAGGGTGTTGCCACCCGTGTCCTCCATGCGTGGCCCTCGAGGACCGGCTTGGGCCACCTCAGCCTGAAGAGGCAATAATGTCTAGGGAGTTGATCGAAAACATGACGGATCGATTCAATGACGCCACAAGGCAGATGGCGGCTGGTCCGAGTCGTAGATGTCGATCTTTCATGCTGCGGGGTCTGGTGCACAGACGGCGGGTGTTTGGTGGCATTGCGATCACAAGGGGCGAAGATCAAGCAAGCCAGGTGTCGGATCCTGGCCTGTCCGGTCGTCGGCCGGCCTGTTTGCGACCAGGTGGGGGAGATGCGGTGCGCGGGATCAAGGCCGCCAGCGCAATCGAGTGCGGGACGCGGGACGCGGGAGCGGGCGAGGGACAGCCCCCACTGGAGCTCTCTGAAACGAACCGCCGGCTGCTGCCAGCCATGACGGGCATCTGCAGGTGAAGGAGGGTTGCTTCGAGCCTGCGCTGTGGCGATTGGCGGTGCCCATCCCCCCGCCTCTGTCCAAGGCGGCATCCATCCATGGATGGCTTGGCCTGGCGACGGGAGTCTCGTTCCGGCGAGGTCGAGACGCTCTCCATCTGCCGCCTATGTTCAATGGCGCAGGGCTCAACAGTGACACCTTTGAGTTGATGTAGCTGCACAGGCTGTGAGAAAACATCACATCCAGATTGATACACGCCAAAGTTCAGCTCTGCGTTGCAATCCTAGGTTCCAGGTTTATTGTGCCGCAAGCTGGGCGTGCGGCGTGACGCCCGGGCACTGGCACGGTCCGGCCGTCCCCACCCTCACCTCAGAGGTCGACGGACCCGTGGACGGACCTCCGCCAGATTGACCCCTGCAACTACAGCAGGCAAGGCCGCTAAAACGGGGAGCTTCACCCAGTGACGTCGTGGGGTAGCAGAGCGATAGCGTGCCATTGACAGGGTAGCTGCACCGCAGCGCAGCGCACCTAGCTGCTGCTGCTGCTGAGGTGCTGCTGCCGCTGCCGCCTCGAAGTCCTGCCTCATCTCCTCTTCCAAGCCTCTCCGTCGCCCTCACGCCGCCATCTGCCCACTTTCTCCCGCCCCCCGCCATTGAGCCTTTGATCAGGGGCGCCGCCAACCATCGCCGAGCCCGCCTCCCTTCTAGCTTCTCTGCTGCTTCTTCCTCGCTGCGCTGCTGACGGAGCCTCGACAGTCGCGACGCCCAATTCGCCCCGCGCCCACCCATGGACCTCGACAAAAGGTGATACAGGCAGGACTCTGCGGGGAGGACAACGGCGCCGAAAAGGCCGCAGCAGGAATGGCCACGATGGCCGCCGGCGGGGAGCAGGTCTACGCGACGGTATGTTGTCCCACGCCGCGTCTCTTTTCCCGACGCCGTCTCGCAAACCCAGGCTGACCGTCGCGAATCAGCTTCTCCTCAGCGACTCGTATCTCCCAGGTGGGTAGTCGTCGCCGCTGCATGTCAACGTAGCCCCTGCGCTCGCAGTCGCCAACAGCCAAAGCAAATCCTTTTCGCGTCTCTAACCATGGGGTCTGCTCGTAGGTGCTCTCGTTCTCGCGCACTCCCTCCGCGATGCTGGCACCACGAGGAAGCTCGCCGTCCTCGTCACCCTCGACGCGGTCTCGGCCGACGCAATAACGCAGCTTCAAGTGAGCACGCCCCTGTCCGCCGCCATGCAAGGTTCACGGCGTACCGCAGCTAACATTGGTCACGCACGCGCCTCCCATAGACGGTTTACGATTATGTCTTGCCCGTGCCGCGGATACGCAACGAGCAGCCCGCCAATCTGTACCTCATGAACCGCTCCGACCTGCACTCGGCCTTCACCAAGATCAACCTCTGGAAGCAGATGCAGTTCTCCAAGATTGTCTACCTCGATTCCGATGTCGTCGCCTACCGCGCCCCCGATGAGCTCTTCGACTTGCCTCACCCCTTCTCGGCTGCCCCCGATATCGGCTGGCCTGACCTCTTCAACACAGGCGTCATGGTCCTGACGCCCAACATGGGCGACTTGTACGCGATGATGGCCATGGCAGACAGGGGTATTTCCTTCGACGGTGCCGATCAGGGCCTGCTCAACATGCATTTCGGACGGGGCTACAACCGACTGTCCTTCACGTACAATGTCACCCCCTCGGCTCACTATCAGTACGTGCCTGCTTATCGACACTTTCAGTCAACCATCAACATGGTGCACTTTATCGGCGCCAACAAGCCGTGGCTCGCCGGCCGCAATGCTCCTCATGGCAATGCGCCTTACGACGAGATGGTTGGCAGGTGGTGGGCCGTCTACGACCGTCATTACAGAGTGCCAGTGAGTATTCCCACCAGCGCAAGTATGCAACTTTGCGCTCAAATGCTAACTAGCCCCTTTCAAGGAGACATCCTCGCACCAGACACAACAGCCGTCACCCACGTTTGTGCAATACTTCACCAAGGGTGAATTCCAGCCCAAGGTTATAGTTACTCAGCCCAGCCCCAGCGAAGACGTCCCTGGACCAAAGGGACAGGGCACCGTTGACTACTCTCAGGCTCATGGCACTACTAGCAGCCCTCGGGCTCCCTCGTCGGGACGTCCGTACGGTGCGTCCGCGTCTGGTAGTACAGAGCCTTTGCCCCCTTTGTGCGACCCTCCCGGCGACGCCAGGACGATCGTTACTGAGGCTCCCGTAGAGCAACAGCCGGCCCAGGTGTCATCTGAGGTGACTCCGCACGTTTCCCAGCCAAAGGCTGAGCCAGCCCCTGTGCCCATGAACAGTTGGGACGCTCAATGGTTAGACCTTTCGAGCCCATCTGCCCCTTTGGCGAGCTTCTGCTGACATGGGTTTCCTGCTCAGGCAACCGCCTCCTGCGGACTCGAGACCTGAGGCTCTGAACTTCCCCTCGACTCATTATGAGATGTCCAGGGACGTGAAGCCTTTTGTCCCTCCCGCGCGGTATCCAAGTCCCCCTAAGAACATGTGGTACGAGGTTCCTCAAGAGCCGCCACAGACACAGCCACTCCAGCCCATCTTCCCCTGGGAAACTAAGCAGCCCAAGCCATCGAGGGCATTTGCGAGCGAAGAGCCGGAGACTGCTCCGGCGACACAAGAATCGTCGCAAGGCATCGCTGGTGAGACTGGCACCGCTCCTGGTGTCTACGCCTCAACTGAGACGTCTTCTACAGTGTCTTCTATTTCGGGAGCCCCAGGGGAGTCACAGTCTGGCTTGGCCCCAGCTGCCAACGTTGTACCCGCAGATCCCTGGACCTCGTTTCCACGGCTTAATGCATGGGATGATGTTCCAGGGATCGGCCGCTACGTTGAAGGTCTCCAGAAGCATCGCCGAGGGAGGAGCCAAGGAGGCGCCGCCGCCGCAACTTCTGGCGGGATCCTCAGTCCAGTTTCTAGCGGTACTAGCCGCAGGGGAGCGAAACCGCACACCTTCAAACTGACTGACTTCCCCAGCGAAGTAGAGCGGCCGAGCTTACCTGTGACTCCGGCACCCATCCGGCGCCCATCGTTTTGGGGTGACGATGCGCCGGAGTCGGGGGCCGCTGACTCGAGGGAACAGCAGCTCCCCGAGGCCCCTGGCGTGCCGGCACAGGCTGAATGGGTATGTGTGCATGGAAGACGATGGAGTCCTGCAGACTGCCCGTGCAACCTTACTAACCTAGACCGCCACCACAAGGACCCAGCTGAGCAGCTTCAGAAGCTCGCGAAGCAGCAGTCCGAGGCGCTGCTGCGCAAGCTTGGCAGTGATGGAGGGCCCGAGGGCGAAGTGAGTCGCGAGATACCCTCGAGGCCGCTACCTTTCGGGTCTGAGACCGCCAAATCACCTACTTATGTCGCACAGGCACCACCGCCGAGCGTCTTGAGCCCACGCCCGGTCAAAGGGGCTTCACCGGCAAGCCTGGAGCAGGGCGTCGGGGCACCCGAGGCTGCAGGCGGGGCAGGCACAGATGTTTTGCCAAGTCTGCAGGCGGAGTCGGAACGCGGAGATCAGGAAAGTAACGGTAGTTGAGGCTGATGTCCTTTTGAGCCACATTACGAAGTTTTGCAGCGCGCGGATGAGTTTTCGCAGCCCGATTGTTTCATGTATGCCTTCTTTGCGTTTCTTTAGTTTTGTGCTCTTCCGCCATTGCTCTTCCGCTTGTACGTTTTGTTGTTCTCGTCATTTGGAGACGCCAAGGGTGCTCGCATTCGAGCGAGGCCCAACAACTAGTTGTGGCGGTGTACTATATAAGAAGCGATGTTTTGATCTTTGAACATTACGTCCCGTTTCCTTGCGATTGTTGACGTGTCTGGATCAAGCGATGTTCCGGTGTCGGTCGAGGTACCCTGGCAAGGCGACTGACTGGCCTATTTGGAAGTGCAAAGGTATTATGCAGAAGCGAACACCGACTTGTCGCAAGCGTTGCGTCTATCGCGGGGACATGGAGAGCATAGCAGAACAGGGCAGGTATCACATAAGAGACTGAGCGTGTCACGGGAAATACTGGCTCAGCGGAGATACATGCGTCCGCCAAAGGGACGCAACGTCGCCTCGCAGTGTGATGATAATACTACAGTGACACGTACAAGCTTGCCGCTATCTGATGCCGTGAAAGAAAGACATGCCTCCCCCCGATGCTGCAGTGAAAGTCTTTTGTGCGCTACATGCTCATTCCTGTTCGTCCTGGGCTTCCTCAACCGTGACTGCCCTTGCCTTGCCCTTCACAGACGGGCCGGCGGATTGATCCTCCACGAGTGCAGTGCCCACATCGCCACGGGTCTCGGGAGAAGCTATCGCAGGCTCGTCGCCATCGGACCGCTCTTTCTCGTGTCCGTTGTGACCAGCCATATCATCACCGGCAGGTGCCTGGGAGTGTGCGTTCTCGCCTGGATCAAGAGATCTCGCATTGTTAAAGAGCTGTGCTGAGCCGCCCCAATTTGGCATCATAGGGCTTGGCGCCACGACAGGCGTCTGCAAGCCGGCACCAGAGGTCTGCCCTGTCGCCTGAGTCCCCGTGTCAGTCGTGGACGCGGCAGAATCATCAGGTAGAGGGCGAGAAGGTGATGAGCCGGCCGTCGCCGCAGTCGAAGGCACATCCTGACCTGGAATCGAGTTTACCGGTCCATTATTGCTTCCAGAGTCGTTACTTTGGGCCAAGATCGACGTCCCAACGGTTGCTTCGTTAGACGAGACGTCTGGACCTCGACTCGCGCCCACGCCTTCCGCGGTCATTGCAGGGTCGCTGGTCTGCGGAGCGGCCTGCGTGTGGCTCGTCGCCACGTCCGTCCGTTGCAGAGGCACCAAGGACCATCCAGCCGGTAGAGCTAATCCTTCGGGAAGGTCTGGACTGCCAGCTGGAACAGCGACTGGATTCGCAGACGGGGCCGCAAATCGAGCCAAGAGCGGGCTACCCGTTCGTGCCGGCATGCCTGGCAAGGGTGGGAGCCCGACAAACTGCCCAGGAGCACCCGGAGTGGGCATGTGAAACTGTGGTGCGCCGGCGAAGGGGAAGTTGGGAGGCAGGTTCGGAGCCAAGCCGTGTGGCTGCGCCTGGTCCGGGGGTTGCTGCCGGCGCTGCTGCAACCGCTGCAACTCCGCCATAAGGAGGTGAGCGACCTGAAGTTCTTGCTGGGCAACTTGCAGGCGCTGCATTTCCCTTTGGACCATCTGTTCTGACTGCTGGATGAGACTGCCAATACTCTGGAGGTTGTCTCCCAACGTAGCCTGGGGCTGCTGCGTCGGAGTCGGGGTCGGTTGCGCTGCTGCCTGGTTACCAGCAATCTGCGGCATGCCGAACTGTTGAGCAAGCTCTCGAACTTGCTGTCCGTTGGCTCCGAACCCGAGTCGGATTGGGCCCAGATTGAAGACTCTGGGGCCCTGCCCTCCTGGTGGCTGTGGTGCTTCATTGGGACGCCCCTGGCCATCCTGCGCCGGGGCACCCCCGGCGGGCTGTTGAGCAGCATTCGCCGCTGCCCGGCCTCCAAACTGTATCCGAAGACCAGCTCCGCGTTGTTGAGGCCCACGTGGACGATCCGCCGTGACGGGGCTCCTGCAGGTCGGGCACACTTGTTGTCGCTCGAGCCAGCTCTTGAGGCAGCCCAGATGTAGAATATGGCCGCAGGGCAACTTCTTCGGGCGTATTCGGTCAATGGCACCCGGATTGCTTGCCGGATCCCAGGGCCGCATCTCCTCCCTGCAAATTATGCAAGTGTTCTCCTGGGCAAGGTCGTCGGCAGTTGCATCGTGGTAACGATTCATCTCCTGAATCGCTCGCCTGTAGCGCAAGAGCGCGTTGAGTCGCTTAACAAAGTCTCGCGACGTCATAAACAAGTCTCGCATGATGTGTATGGGCAGGCCATAGAAGGTGAGTAACATGACGAAGAAGGCGACATAGATGCCCAGTTTGATCATGTCTGCCTCAGTTAGCGGCCAGGCGGCGGGTGGCCAGGTGGCGGGAGTACACACCGGTCAAAAGATCGAGCCACAAGACCCATTCTCCCTTGGCAGCCCATCCTGGAACTTCAATGTCCATCTCGTCGATGTCGTCTTCGCTCGGGAGTGGCTCCTGGTCGGTCGGTGGGTCTTGCCCGGCGGCAGCAGCCAGTTCCCGATCCCGTATGAGGGCTTCGCGTCGCTCCCGAACCTCTTGTCTTCGCTCAAGTAGCCTCTTACGAGTTTGCGTCTGGATAATGTTCTGTTCCGCCAGTGAGAGGATATATCGAGCTCCGGTGCGCCAGGAACAGGTGGCCAGCACAGCGAACTCGAAGAGAAACATGACCATCATGTTTGGACGTGCCTGCTGGATAACGCTGTTGATGGTGTATCGGAGGATCCAGACGTCGTATAGGAAGCTCATGGTGAGAGAGACGCTGAGGCGAAGGTGGAAGAGACGTGGGTTCGGCGGCGGTTGCTGCTCGAGAAATTCCACTCGTCCATCACCTATCCAGCCCCAGACCTTGCCTGTCACCAGGGCCGTAAACATGACAAGGAACCAAGCTCCTATCTCCTCCCTGAATATGGTCATGGCGAGGCACGTCTCGGTGATTGCGAACCAAGCCCGCTCCGTCAGCTGCTCGACCTCGACTGCTCGAAGTGTGCCATAACATAGTCGCGTCAGGCCGTAGATGAAGCTGCTGTAGAGGAGCAGCGTAAAGTTGACCAAGGCCTGGTGTTATCAGTGTTAGCTCGGGCGACACAATATGGCAGTGCTGTACGGACCAGCAGGCAGAAGTTGCTCTGGGCCAGATAGACCATGGCCGAGTAGAAGTTGGCTCTTTGCTGAAAGGCGGACACAATCACTCCGCCGGCCAGGGCCGTCGAGACCTAGAGCAGTCGGTCAGCGCCCAGAGATGCAAAGAGCCACAGTCGAGCTGTAGCTCCGTTGGGCGAGGGACGTACCCCGGCGTACCAGCCGAGCCGCATCTTGGGCATTGGAAGCAGCCGGTAGGGTTCGCGAGAAAGGAGAGCGATCGGGCTCTGCCCTTAGATGCCCATCTTTTCGGAGCGGAAGCTTCACCGAGCAGCCGTACGTGGATGGGTTGCTTTGGGGAGGGTTGAACGTCTGTACCTTGGGTTGGTTCGGCGCGATCTTGATGCCACGTTATGGTACGTACGCCACGATGACCAACCGACGATGACGCAGGGGTGGACAGCTGCCGGCACGTGACGCCGCGCCGTTTCAACTTCTGGACTTCAGTCCGGCATTTAGCCGCCGCTTCCCGCCGAGAAAGTCGCCCACGGTACCAACAAAACGATGACATGAACTGCGTTGCGAGATATCACGCAGCCAATACGGTCGTTTCGACGCCGCAATTGGAGTATTTGAGCTACGACGCATTATGCTATCAATCTGGGTGGCCTTTAAGACCGTGCCGTGCGCAACAATTGAAGCCATACCCGAACGAAATTCCTTGTCAGTCATTACCGAGGCCACCGGGCCCTTGTGATATGAACAGGTCCGGCAGCGGTATCCTAAGCTCTACAAGTACTTTCCATTTCCTGTTCTGTGCTGTATCAGAGTGATGATGTGGGCCCTTGCAGGTGCGTCCGTCCGACCACACAAGCTCACCTCCCGCCAGCAGCGTCAAGACCACCACCCGCCATTGAAGTTTTCCCTTGTAAAACCCCAAAGCCCCATTCCCAGTATTCACCACGCAGGACTTGATGGTAACACGCATCGTCTCAGCTAGCCTCAGTGGGCAAGTCGAAACAGATCCGGAAGTGCATATACACGCCGTGTTTGTGCGATGCTAGATGCAGAACACTAAATATGATCGACTCACGCCTGACAGATGGGCAAGAAATTATCGGCGCGCTGGCCGATAAACTTCCCCTACGCCGCTTGAAAAGTGTCATCCAGAACCAGCAGAGCCTCGGCGTGCAATGGCTCGAGCTGCAGCGAGCCTTTCCGTCACGCAGAAGTGAAGGACTCGCAAAGTATCACGGCTTTGGCACCCTACCCTGTACGCCTTGCACCTCTAGCGGGCATCGCGATGCGTCTCAGCCCCCCGGCCTTGTTTCGCCGTGTGAAAGTGCAAAGGTACATCGCTGCCTGAGCAAAACGGCAGCGAGGCAGTCATTCACCGAAACACTGCATATTTTCTCCGTCGCGCATGCCGACGGGCATTCTGTGGTTGCATCGCCTCCGCTGCTCCCGACCGACCGACGCAGTGCATCAGGCAACCCCAGATGGGGGTGAAGAGTCCGGCAGGCATCGACAGCGTGCATGGAGATTTTCTTACGGCTCGCCCGATCCGGGCGCAACCTGCCTCGGCCGCATGGCCGCCTGGAGCAGCCTGCAGGCAACACGGCCACGGACGAAACCCTGCAAGCAGACATTCACCGGACGGTTACATGATGCTCGCGCCCGGCGACAGCTGCAGCGAGGCCGCCGAGCAGAGCCACCAGAAGCCGTCGCGGCACGGAGCGACCACAACGCAGCAGTTGACTTAGCACATGGACTGGAGCGGGGCCGTGGGGATTTGGCAGCGATGGAGGCATCCCTGGCGCCCGCGCACCGAAGATCGCACGGCGGCGCCTCGTCCTTCGTACCTGGGACGAACCACGGGCAAGCCTGGACGCGGAGCACATCTGCCGGTGAAGTTGAGCCTAATGTGAAGGAATGAACAGATGGAATCAATGGTCCGTCAATCGGGGGCGGACGAGCGGGCTGCTCGAGGTCCTCCAGACGCGATGGCGTCGCAACGCGCGCGCGGCACACACGTGATGAGGACCGGGGCAGCCAGCGGCTCGGATCGATACTGTCTTGGCAGTGGTGCAACCGCCAAGCAACCTCAAGACGCTTTCCTTTGTCGAGGAACTCGTGGTTGAAGGAATGGATGAAGGGCCGCCCTGGGCGCCGCCGGCTCGGGAGCCGCGATGCCGCGATGGCGCGGTGCCGCAATGCCGCGAATGCCGTGCAGGCAAGGCAGGAAAGCAGGGGGAGAGGAGCACAGGTCTCGCGGAAGCGATTCCGCAATTAAGCGAGCTCGCGGCGAGGGGGGGTTTTGGCGTGCCGTCTCCTGGGTCAGTGCTGTGGTCGCAGGCGCCCGGCTGCCGCCATGATGTGCTGCAGGGATCATGACTTGTAGGTGCTTGCCCACGAAAGCACTGCAATCAGGCACGCACGGCACGTCAGGCCTGGGGTGGTGGACGCGCAGTGCGATGTCCGTCGGAACAGTCTAATCAACAGTTGCAAAACACTTGCTGTCATGTCTGCGGAGGTATGTCCCCTGTTGACGGAGGTTCGGAAAGGGGGCCTGTCTGTTGACAGCGGCCACGGACACGGCACGGCGCTCGTCTCGCCGTCTCCCCACCAGGCCTGGAGGTCACCACCGGCTCGTGATTGCTCCGTCTACCACCACCTTGTCCTGGTTGAACTCCCTTGGGGAGGGCGCTTCGAGGGTTGATGGTGGCCTCGATGCACAAGAACGAGTCCTTGTACCTCGACTGTCCCGGGTTCGCGATGGCATTGCAGGGTCCTGGGTGCGAGAGCTTTGCTTCTCATGGACACGGTGTGCTTGTAACCATGCCAGGGACCAGGAGATCTGCTGGCGAGGGGCACTCGGCATAGCTGCGAGAACTCCCGTGAGCTGCATCAAATTCGTGGATGGACAGGTTGCCAATGGTGGTCACGAATCCACGAATCCACGAATCCACGAATCCACGAATCCACGAGGCTTGCTGCCTCCGCGTCTGGCCCTGGCCCCTGGCCATGTGCGGGCGCCGCTGCACACGCCCCCATGCCCTTCCAGCAGACCGGAACGAGTCGACTCGGTCGCTGCTTTTTGCGAGAACGAGATGCATGCTCCCCC